AGATAACCACAGAATATGACAAATGATTAACGAACTGGAAATGCAGAAAGTTTTATCAACGACAAAACAAATCACCGAAATGTGTATTAGAGTCAAACGTTAGATCGTCAGAATTTATCTTCAATAAAGAGCAAAAACTAAATTAAAAAAAAAACATGATTTACATACCCAATTAAGCCTAATTTTACCTACGTTAGAGAGTATTGAGAAATAATCCGAATATTTAGGTTAGTTCTACTTGCTAAGTTAGTTTTGATTTAAGTACAAAACAAAATTATTTGAATCTTTATTTAAATTAAACATATGGGTCAATCCAAGCTTCATTATACACATAATTAATCCCGAAGCAAAACATTCCCCAACAGATGTTTATTGTGTTACAACATTACTTACAATATTACGACAGGCAGGCAGGTAGGCAGGCAGGCAGGCAGGTATACAGGCAGGCAGGCAGGCAGGCCCGCAGGCAAGCAGGCAGACAGCCAGGCAGGCAGGCAGGCCCGCAGGCAAGCAGGCAGGCAGGCAGGCAGGCAGGCAGGCCCGCAGGCAAGCAGGCAGGCAGGCAGGCAGGCAGGCAGGCAGGCAGGCAGGCAGGCAGGCAGGCAGGCAGGCAGGCAGGCAGACAGGCAGGCAGGTATACAGGCAGACAGGCAGCCAGTCCAGCAGGCAGGCAGGCAGACAGCCAGGCTAGCAGGCAGGCAGGATATATCGCACAGCCTCCAATACCAACCTTCACCTCACACAACAATTTACACCATTCCTCAACCTTGCGCCTCAACACGCTTAAAAAAAAAAAAATCCTCTCTTTGGAGGTCTCTCGCACCTCTCCACTCACTGTCGCGCCTCTCTCATCACGCTTCTCACCTCACCCAGGTGTGCGGAAAAGTAATTAGAGGATCTGATTATTACTCTAACTTCGACGTCCGCACCGGCGCGCCTCTGTTTGATCTTCCAACCGCGGCAACCAACTTCATTAGCAATCAGTCATTTTTTCATGCGTACGTACAGATGTGTCTCATTAGCACGCAGGGGGTTTGTCCGTGGCGAATATTTTTGGTTATCCTACCTGTTGGGCCGCAGACATAACAGCCCACCTGTGTGGCGTATACTTGGTTATCCTACCTGTGGGGCCTCAGGAATATTAGAGCCCTCGGCAGATTTCAGAAGCTTCGAGTTGGGATTAATTACAAAGAAACTGGGTAAACTCTGATAATTTTGAAGCCGTAGGGATGAGATCTTTACAAATCACTTTCTCAATTTAACAGGATCCGTGCATTTCAAGATTAACTTTGAAATATTTTGTTTACATAGGCAATTACTTTGGAGAGGCTTTTCATATATTCTAGTTATTCGTCAAATTTTCTAATGGATGACAATAAATAAAATCTTCACTCAGCCGTTAAGCGAATTTTCACTAAATGCCGACGTATACCTACTTAACACATTATTCTAAACGAATGATAATTTACAAGCGTTCTCCCTCGAACTGCTTGTTCCATACTGACAACCTCACAGAAGTGACTCGACGCTCCTCTGTCCTTACTTGAGGCGCAAGTAAGTGGTAGTGGAATACCTGTCAATCTTAATGACGGATGATGGTGATGATGGAAATTACTTATCATTCTTCATCACTTGGCCTGGACGGTAGAGCGACGGTCTCGCTTCATGCAGGTCGTCGTTCAATCCCCGTTTGTCCATATGGTTGAGGCACCATTCCTTGCCCTCATTCCCATTACAAATCCTTATCCTGACCCCTTCCAAGTGCTACATAGTCGTAATGGCTTGGCGCTTTGCCTTGATAATTCCATCCCATCTTCATTGGAAATGGGTAGAGATAGAAGAAGGAGAAACAAAAACAATTATGGACAGGAACAAGGATAAGGTTAGGGGATAGAATCTAGGACAGGAATTGGACAGTGTCAGAGATGGTAAGGAGGAGGAGGAGGAGAAGGGAGACAGAATGAGATTGAATCGAGTGAGGGAGAGAGACGGTTCGGGAAAGAGAGAATGAGGGGGAGAGGGAGAATGAGAGAAGAATTCAGATAGGCAGAGGGGTCAGGTAAAGTAATGGAAGCAGGGAGATGGAGAGAGGGAGGGGGGAGAGTGCTGGGGGAGAGGGAGGGGGAGGGAGAGGAAGGGGGAGAGGGAGGGGGAGAGAGAGAGGTAAGAGCGTGTAAGGTCTTCATGGAGCCTTAGGGAGAGCCTGTGAGAGTGGTAAAGAGCCTGGGAGAGTCCCACTGTAAGTAATAGTGTCGTCACTGTAGGTGGTGCAGGAGTGGTCACTGTAGGTGGTGCAGGAGTGGTCACTGTAGGTGGTGACGGAGTGGTCACTGTAGGTGGTGAAAAGAGTCACCACTGTAGATGGCTCCACGACGGGGCTGCATACCCTAGGACCGGTCTGGCGGTGGTGTGCAGTGTTCTGAATGCTTCTATACTAAGTTCTCTGAAGGTTGCTCTGATGTTTGCCAGTATATACCCCCGTTGCTGACGCTGTCATATTTGTGCTGTCATGTTTGGAGTCAGCCTCCACCACATCACTTCTTAATGCATTCCATTTCTCTACTACCCTGACGTGTGAGTACGTACTCTAGTACACCAGAGTACTACCCTACTCTGGTGTGTGAGTGCATGCGTGTGGACAAACTATATAAAAAATATTTTAACTTTGCCTAATCCAGGTTAAATTTAATTAAGAAAAAACCATGATTTTATAAAAAAATTTTTTACACCAGAGAGAGGATAAGAGGGATGGTGGTGGGGGGGGATGAGGGAGAGGGGTGAGGGATGGGGGGGGAGGGAAGGGAGAGGGAGAGAGGGGAAGGGGAGAGGGGAGGGGATGGGGGATGGGCGGGTGTGCCATAAATTTGTGCCTCTTTTGAGCAATCAGTGCCACGGAGTGACATAGTTTGAGAGCAGCGCTGTTATAACGACCCAAGAGCCGTTAGGTCACTGTTATAGTGACCCCAATGTCGTTATGTCACTGTTATAGCTCAACAGTGACTCTCAACTTCCCTCGACAGTGAAGAAAAACGAGAAATATTCGTGTTAGAATCATTAATCTTTCCCTTTCGGTCATATTCAACAACATATATTTACAAGAAAGACTGATGTGTGTATATATATATATATATATATATATATATATATATATATATATATATATATATATATATATATACTTTGAAATTACTTCAAAAGATAAAATGAAAAATGGAACACATTTGTGTGTCAACATTTAGCACTGGGCTGTGTCTCTCTGGCAAAAGTTTTATCCAGTTTAAACGAAAGTTTGCCAAGCAGAGTAATACGAGCCCTGCTCCAGTTTCTGTGTTTCATTTGTGTTTGACTGTATGTTTAAACAGCTATAAGCTTACCACATTTCCACTTTATGGAGAGAGCTCACATTTCCCCTCCCCCCCCTCTCTCTTTCTCTCTCTCTCTCTCCCTCTCTCTCTCTCTCTCTCTCTCTCTCTCTCTCTCTCTCTCTCTCTCTCTCTCTCTCTCTTCTTTTCAACACATTTGAGTTTATTTAGTATAACTGAATGTGATAAAAGTTTCTCGTTATCACATTTAAGTCACATAAACGAACTTTTATCAAGCAATTCGACGGGCCGACCCAAACGCATTTTGTGAGCACACTCACACCCACTTTTACACCCACTTCTCGTCCCACATCCACCTACTCTTGTTCAGACCCTTCATCCACAAATACTCCCTCAGCTCTACTCTCTCACTAACCCCATACTAACCACATCTCTCACACTCACTCACACTCCCACACATCCACTTGGACATCCACTCGAGCCGTGGGTGTCTGCGCCCGAGGAGTAAGGCCGCATGAACTCTCCCTCCCACCCTCTCATCTCTCTCCTCTCGCCAACAGTGCCTGCCTGCCCGGCCTGGTGCCACCGCTGGCACTCCCTGGCACCCTACATTCGCTCGTCGGCCGCCCTCCTCGACGCACGGGCCTTGCCTCGCCTCCCGTCTCAGGGCCATCACCACTAACCTTCCAGTGTCAAGTTTTACTACTATTCACCGGTTTCAGTCTCAATACTGTCCTCCAGTGCCAATCTTCAGGGCTAATCTCCAACAACTTCTTATAGTGAAGCTGGCAGTTGGTGGTCGTTCACTCACCTGTGAAGGAGTCCTCCTAGTCCAGGGCGTTGTGTCCGGACCCACTGGTAGTGACGGAACTCTTAAACATTGTGTCTCAAAACGTTAACACAGAAAAACTACAAATTGTAACTCTCACCCTGTGTTTAAACTGTGTTCGCTTATTATTTAACATATATAATGACTTTCACTGAGACTTGTTTTGCGAACTGAAAGAGAACAAGAAAGATTAGAAGGAGAGAGATGGAAGGAGAGACAGAGAGAGAAGAAGAGAGATAGAGAAAAAGAGAAAATGGCCGGAAAATGGACTTTCCTCCCTGGGTGAACAATAAGTTAAGCCGTGACTCTCGGTGCTCGAAACACTTAACTTTTGAAGTGCGTCTTCAAGTGCCCCGTTAGAAACTACCTCCAGTTACATAGCGGCCTTCTTATGTTGTGACCGAGCTCTAGACCTGGTAACTACAACTACCATGTTAACTTACAAGTAATTGGCGCCCTTGGTATAGCGAGAGGGTTGTTCATCTCGCAAATAATTATTCATTTGAGCCACCTCACTGTTCGTGTTGGGGCTCGGAGCGCTCTTTCTAAGGTAGATAACGAGGATGTTCAGTCGGTGGGGATACTGGCCATTCTTGGATGCGAGTTAATGACCGCACGAGGCAAACTGTATATATATATACTTTCAAATATCAGCGAGATTAAGTGAACTGTTGTTGCTCTCACGGTGTGTAGATGTTCGCCCTCTCCTTCAGCGGATGTTCGTCCTGCTCTTCAACATCCGACACAAGCATATAAAAACAGCATCATTCTGGTCAAAAACACAAAAAACCAAACTTTCCCGGTCTTAAAAGCCTGAAGTATCCTATTTGTTTGGCTTTTTTTTTAACGAGAAAATGGAAGATTCGGACACGAATCACGTGATATGGAACACCAACTTCACCAAAGACTACGCCTCTTACATCGACTTGTTTACGCACGACAACGCCTCTATCGACGCAATCCTAAACGACAGTCGGTTGTCGAACTCCTCGGAGGCGATGGAGGGCGGGAACGCGACGGTCTACACACCGTACGCCGAGCGCCCGGAGACCTACCTCGTGCCCCTCGTCTTCGCTGTCATCTTCGTCACCGGCGTGGTGGGGAACGGCGCCCTCATCTTCATGTTCCTCAAACACCCGAAGCTCAGGTGAGTAGTCCTCTCTACGGGCGGTGTTCTACTGACGGGAACGGGCGGGTCTTCTCTATATGGGTCAGTCTAAATATTTTGGAAGTGTAATAATACTCTCTCTCTCTCTCTCTCTCTCTCTCTCTCTCTCTCTCTCTCTCTCTCTCTCTCTCTCTCTCTCTCTCTCTCTCTCTCTCGTGCACAAATCGTCGTGATGAACACCTTTGTGAATATTATATAATTTGTAATAAGCGTTGCAGAGTATGGCAACTGAATTCTATGCGTTATTTAATGACAAATATACTTGTCAACATTGAACCGAATGACTGTATTCACCTGGGTATTCACCTAGTTGTGCTTGCGGGGGTTGAGCTCTGGCTCTTTGGTCTCGCCTCTCAACTGTCAATCAACTGGTGTACAGGTTCCTGAGTCTACTGGGTTCTATCATATCTACATTTAAAACTGTATGGAGTCAGCCTCCACCACATCACTTCCTAGTGCATTCCATTTACTAACTACTCTGACACTGAAAAAGTTCTTTCTAAGACACACACCTGTGTGTGTGTGCGCCTGTGTGTGTGGATATATAAATTTATCCCTTCTGTTCAGTGTTTACCTGTTCTTTGGTGTTCATCTATCCTTCAGAACTCACCTGTAATTCAAGGATTACCTGTCCTTCCATGTGGTTGTGTAGGATTAAGTTCACTCAGGTTAGGTTACAAAAGGATAGGATTAGTCAAGTTAGGATAGGTTAAGTCGGATTAGGTTACGATAGATCCAGCTACAGTAGGTTAGGTTATAAGCTAGGTTAAGTCAGGTGAGGTTAGGCTAGTTGTGTGTTAGTTAGGTTTGTTTTATAGAGTAGTTATGACGGTGCTGTATACTTTCTCAGGTCGTAGACCCGACTCCAGTCAGGAAATTAGGAAATTTCCTGTCATTGTGGTTCACCTATTGTTCTTCATCACAGGGGGGGGGTGTCTCCATCACAGGGGATCCCTCTCCATCACAGGGGACCCCTCTCCATCACAGGGGATCCCTCTCCAACACAGGGGATCCCTCTCCATCACAGGGAACCTCTCTCCAACACAGGGGACCTCTCTCCATTACAGGAGACTTCTCTCCATCACAAGCGAACCCTCTCCAACACAAGGGATCCTTCTCCATCACAGGGGACCCCCCTCTCCGTCATAGGGACATCCCTCTTTCTCACAGGGGATTCATCTCCATCAAAAAATTTGAAATTCTTTACTTATTCATAAAGGGGGGACGGTTTTGTAAAACAATGAATCGTTTCATACAATCTGCTTCGTTCACAGGGCAGTGACATACCTCTACCTCCTCTCTCGCCAGCTCCAGCTGGGACACTGAGGTTAGGACACTCGTAGGAGTGTCTTTATAGCACATAACCTAGACAATAATTCCATTTCAAGGGTCAGGTTCCGTTCGCTTCAGTCTTGTTCAACAACGGAGTCGCCATCTTGGTTAGAGAACAACGGAGACGCCATCTTGGCTAGAGAACAACGGAGACGCCATCTTGGCTAGAGAACAACGGAGACGCCATCTTGGTTAGAGAACAACGGAGACGCCATCTTGGTTAGAGAACAACGGAGACGCCATCTTGGCTAGAGAACAACGGAGACGCCATCTTGGTTAGAGAACAACGGAGACGCCATCTTGGCTAGAGAACAACGGTGACGCCATCTTGGTTAGAGAACAACGGAGACGCCATCTTGGTTAGAGAACAACGGTGACGCCATCTTGGTTAGAGAACAACGGAGACGCCATCTTGGTTAGAGAACAACGGAGACGCCATCTTGGTTAGAGAACAACGGAGACGCCATCTTGGTTAGAGAACAACGGAGACGCCATCTTGGTTAGAGAACAACGGAGACGCCATCTTGGTTAGAGAACAACGGTGACGCCATCTTGGTTAGAGAACAACGGAGACGCCATCTTGGTTAGAGAACAACGGAGACGCCATCTTGGTTAGAGAACAACGGAGACGCCATCTTGGTTAGAGAACAACGGTGACGCCATCTTGGTTAGAGTTGGGGTCCGTCATTGCTTCCCCTTCCCCCATCCTCCCCTCATCCTCCAATCCCCATCACCCTCCAATCCCCCATCACCTGCCTAGTCTCCTGTCGCAATTTATCTCTAGGTACTATATATTTCCTCTCTGGTACCTTGATTTACCTTGAGTTTGTCGACGGGTGCGTGGCTGCTTCCATTACTTTTTTGTTCTTGGCGGGCGCAACGACTTTCAATATAAATGTGTAGCTTGTATCCGCCGATCTTAAGTGCGTGTGTTCCATTAAGTGCGGAGCGGGGCGCTCGGAGGGGGGCTGGGAGAAAAAGCTTTCCATGTGGTGTTTACCAGCTTCCATGTGGTGTTTACCAGCTTCCATGTGGTGTTTACCAGCTTCCATGTGGTTTTTACCAGCTTCCATGTGGTGTTTACCAGCTTCCATGTGGTGTTTACCAGCTTCCATGTGGTGTTTACCAGCTTCCATGTGGTGTTTACCAGCTTCCATGTGGTGTTTACCAGCTTCCATGTGGTGTTTACCAGCTTCAGGCTTCAGCTGAAGATTAACGTGGCTGTTAATTCTCATCTCAGCAAACCCGTTTTGTACGGCAGAGAAAACTGCGTTATGTGCAACCTGCTCTCGCACAAGACAGCACATATATGGCTTATTGCTTATAGTCACTATTTCGCTTATAAATAAGTATATATGTGACATATTCCAAGCAACATCCTATTGCGTTCGCGTTTGGGGCTTGTAGAATGATATCTGGGGCTTCTTGAAGAGTGTGTCACACATATGATGTACAGCTCTCCATTCTTGGCCTTTTCGATTGGTAATTACTTCCTTACTTAATGTCCTGGAATTGAAAAATTAATGATATTCTCATTCACTCACGAAGACTTACACTGTACTACAACTCTACCCCGATCGCTTGTCTGGGAAAGATTACAAGGTCGAGGACCAGAGGGATTGACGGGATTGCTCGCCCGTCAATCAGGGTATAGGACCAGGATATAGGACCAGGGTATAGGACCAGGGTATAGGAGGGGGGTGGCTATTTTAACATTACAATATACAGGAATAACTCCTCTATGCTATGAATACAAAGGGTCTATGTTTATGGCTATGTTTATCACATAGCCATAAAATATTTATTGCAAATTTACACATTATATATATTTTTCAAGTTATTTTTCTATGACCAAATCCACAAGGGCCGTGACGAGGATTCGAACCTACGTCCGAGAGCATCCCAGACGCTGCCTTAATCGACTGAGCTACTGTACGGTCAACATATTATTATTGTGTCGTGTAGTGTAGTGTTATTTTTCTATATTTTGTTTTATATTTGTCATAAACCGAGAGGAACGATCGAGTTTATAATCGCTTATTGAAACAAAAGAGAATCGTAGGGCTGTTAATTCTGGGGTTGTTAAGGATCATCAAAAGAAAACACCTTCGTAACTTTTATAACAAGAACATTCAGCGCCGCCAAATAAATTATTCAATAAGAACAAAGTAATTAAAGTCCAAAAAAAAAAAAACACCAAAGAGTTTCCTAGAAAGACCAGAGACTTAACTCAATGTCCAATTCGTATAAAAATATAATACAAATTTCGAATTAGTTTGCCACAATTCTCAAGATATTATTGTGTAAATTTTTTTTAACTGTTCTAAATAACTTTATTTTGGATGATACAGATCACTTGACACAGACCAACTATAACAAATCAGGTGACATACAGTAGATCATGTAAATCAGGTGACAAAGAACAGGTGACACAGACCACATTAAGCAAATCAGGTGACAAAGATCACATTACGCAAATCAGACGACAAAGAGCAGGTGACAAAGACCACATTACGCAAATCAGGTGACATAGAGCAGGTGACACAGACCCACATTACGCAAATCAGGTGACAAAGAGCAGGTGACACAGACCAGATCGACGCGTCGTGATAAGAACAATTAAATCAAATTACAATGCTTTTCGGGGCCGAATTAAACATTAAAAATCTAGATAAACCTTTATTTCAACTGAAGAGAAGCGAGAGCAGAAAATGTGGAGACGCTCCCCCGTCTTGAAGGTGGACACAAACGACACTTCAAGACATCGTTAAAGACTCGCTGGACCTCGCAAATACCTCGTTAGCGGCCTCAGGCTTCTAACGACCGATGCCGCCAAACAGCAATTTCAGGACGAATTAAACACCAGGATGCTATTTGGTATTTTCTTTTTCACTCTCGTGAATAAAGGATGTTGATAACTGCTCTCCAGATGACCAGACCAGCATCCAAGCAGGCAGATGAAACCAGCATCCCAGCAGGCAGATAAGACCAGCATCCCAGCAGGCAGATGAGACCAGCATCCCAGCAGGCAGACACGACCAGCATCCCAGCAGGCAGATGAGACCAGGATCTCAGCAGACAGATAAGACCAGCATCCCAGCAGGCAGATAAGACCAGCATCCCAGCAGGCAGACACGACCAGCATCCCAGCAGGCAGATGAGACCAGCATCCCAGCAGACAGATAAGACCAGCATCCCAGCAGGCAGATAAGACCAGCATCCCAGCAGGCAGATAAGACCAGCATCCCAGCAGACAGACAACGTAGCAAAAACGTGATTTTCACTATCGCAAAAGTTGTGGTTTTGATGTCTCCCAAACGTTTAAATGATGTTGTCCAACTGTAGTGTGCCATCATACATATAATGCATGTTTGGAGAGGCCTGACTTTGGGCCCCGGGGGGTGGGAGGGGGTATTGTTCCCAAGATCCATGATCCCTCAATTGCAGCTAGGGTTCGAACCCGTCAAAGGTGGCAGTGAGAACCGATGTAAACTACATATATTAACAAGTGATCGTTATAAAACACAGTTACGTTATAAAGTAAAGTTATCCGATATTACACTAAGATCACTGAGCGAAGCTAGCGAGATTTCTGTGAAATATCCTGAAAAAAAAACATACTCAAGGGATATATATACACCGTGAGG